AGCCCCAGGGGACTGGCACCTCCCGCCCCAGGGCTCTTATCTGCGTCCTGCCCCCTGGACAACGTCTTCTGCACTGGCACCATGCGGGGCTGCGGGTCCAGGCTGGTTTGGCTGCTGGTGCTGTCGCTGGCCTGGCTGGGCCCGGCGCTGGGGGACGAGGAGAAGGATGAGGAGGTGGTGGCAGAGGAGGAAAGGGAGAAGGAAGAGGATGAAGTGCTCTCAGATGAGATCAAGGAGGAGGACAATGTCCTGGTGCTCCATGAGCACAACTTTGCCCGTGCCTTGAGTGAGCACCAGCTGCTGCTGGTGGAGTTCTGTGAGTGTCCCCACTGTGGGCAGGGGTGTGGGCAGGGGAAGATGTCAGGCGGGGAATATGGGCAGGGGATACTGACTGTGGCTGTGAGTGTGGGCAGAACAGACATATGGGCGTTGGGGTGGAGGGGGGGACAGGCAGGCAAGGCTGTGGCCAGAGGGGCAGAAGCACAGGACACGTGACAGGGCATGGGATGGGGACAGAGACATGGAGCAGGGACACTGGCAGAGGCATGGGCTGGAGAACAAGTAGCAGGGGTATGGCACACAGGACAGGGACACATGGTGGGTGTGGGGGACATGGGACCTGGAACAGGAACATGAGCTGGGACCCACTGGGCTCATGCAGCCATTACAAGCCCACCCTGGGGACAGGGGACACCCCAAAGCTGTCCCCACTGCCAACGCCATCCCCTGCCTGCAGATGCACCGTGGTGTGGGCACTGCCAGCAGTTGGCCCCCGCCTACACCCGGGCGGCCACCGAGCTGAGGAACGAGTCCAGTCCAGCACGGCTGGGCAAGGTGGATGCCATGGCACAGACAGCCCTGGCCAACGAGTTCAACATCACCTCCTACCCCACGCTCAAGCTCTTCCGCAATGGCAACCGCACCCACCCCCTCCCCTACACCGGTAGGGCTGTGGCACCGCGCGGTGGCCGTGGCACCAAACAAGGGGACACTGCCATGGGGCTGGGGAGGGTGGCAGGGTGGTGATGGTGAGATGGGTGGCAATGTCCTGGTGGGCTTTGCAGCATGGTGACAGCGGGCTGGTGACAATGTGGTGATGGTGCGTGAGGTGGGTGATGCCAGGCAGTGCTCTGGTGGTGGTGGCAGGTGGCCAAGGCTGGTGGCACAGGGAGGGGTGGCAGCCTGGTGAGGGGTGTCAGGGTGACAGCACTGGCTCTGCTCGGCATGGCAGGACTCATGGACACGCGGGGCATTGTGCGCTGGATGCAGCGCCGGGCCGGCCCCAGTGCCACGCTGCTGCACGACACCGACACCGCCAACGCCTTCGCCAGCTCCGAGGACTTGGTGGTCATTGGCTTCTTCAAGGTGGGCTGGGGCGGGTGGGGCCGCACTGGGGCTGCAGCCATGGCCATGGCTGTGGCACTGATGTGGGGACTGTGCAGGACCTGAAGGGCCAGGCAGCCCAGGCGTTCTACGATGTGGCTGCTGAGATGGTGGACATGCCCTTTGGCGTGGTGGAGGCGGCCGAGCTCTTCCAGGCCTACGGGCTGTCAACCGACACCGTCTGTCTCTTCAAGAAGGTGAGGGGGTGGCAGAGGGTGGTGGGGCCATCTTGGTCCCCACCCCAGCCCTCACCAGCCCCTGCCCCGGCAGTTTGATGAGAGACAGACAAACTTCCCCGTGGACCCGGAGAAGGGGCTAGACACAGATGAGCTCACGCGGCTGCTCCGCGTCCACAGCCTGAGGCTGGTGACGGAGTTCAACAGTGAGGTACAGCCCGTGTCCATCCCCATCTCTGCCTGTGAGTGCCATAGCCCCCTGCCCTCACCCTCCTCCTCCTCCTCAGACATCCAACCAGATCTTCGGTGCCAAGATCCCCCATCACATGCTGCTCTTCCTCAACAAGTCATCATCGGAGCAGCTGTCCCTGCAGGACGGCTTCAAGGCAGCCGCCGGCACCTTCCGGGGCGAGGTGAGGTGGTCCCATGGCAGGGACAAGGGGGGTGGCTGCGGGGCACCCCATCCTCAGGGTCACCCCTCCCTGCCCAGGTGCTCTTCGTGGTGGTGGATGTGAACGGGTACGGCGCTGACGTCCTGTCCTTCTTCGGCATGACCCCCGCCGACGCCCCCACCCTGCGCCTCGTCAAGATGGAGAACAACCGCAAGTACCAGATGGAGCAGGACTCCTTCTCGGACACGGCCATCCGCACCTTCATCCAGGCGGTGCTGGATGGCAAGGTGAAGGTGAGGGAGGCAGCAGGTGCCAGCCAGCACCTGAGGATTCTTCCCCGTGGTGAGTGGTGGGGCTGGTGACTCAGAGGCCTGATGATGGCAGATGTGCTGTGAACACCAGCCCCCTGCTTGCTGATCCTTCTGCTGCCAGGCTTGAGGATTTGGGGGGTTGGTAGGGGAAAGGAGGCAGGAGACTGCTGATGTGGAGACACACAGAGCTGGGATGGCAGCGGAGGGGCAGATGTGGTCCAACAGGCAGCACAAGTGCACCCCTGGCTGTGTGCTGGGACACCCCTGCCTGCACTGTGCCCCTTGGGGCCCTGGCACTGCCCAGCCCAGCTGTGGCTGCCCCGACTGTCCCCACAGCCCCACCTGCTGAGCGCGGAGCCCCCCGAGGACTGGGACACGCGGCCCGTCAAAGTCCTGGTGGGGAAGACCTTCGAGCAGGTGGCGTTCGATGAGACCAAGAACGTCTTTGTCAAGTTCTGTAAGTGCCGGGGCCGGGCTCATCCCCTCCACAGCAGCCCCCAGCCCTGTCACGGACCCTCACCTGGGGCTTGCAGCAGAGCCCCAGTCCCCCAGTCCATCCCCTGGCACCGTGCCTGTCCCGCAGACGCTCCGTGGTGCTCCCACTGCCAGGCCATGGCACCCGCCTGGGAGGAGCTGGGCGAGCGCTACAAGGACCACGAGGACATTGTCATCGCCGAGATGGATGCCACGGCCAACGAGCTGGACAACATCACCATCCACGGCTTCCCCACCCTGCACTACTTCCCCGCAGGGCCGGGCAGGAAGGTACGTGGGGGGAACACCCCTGGGGTCACCCCGGCTCTGCCAGCACATGGGGAATGGGGTCACCCCTCGTCACCCTCCCATCCCATGGCTCCAGATGGTTGAGTACAAGAGCACCCGAGATGTGGAAACTTTCTCCAAGTTCCTGGAAAATGGGGGGGTGCTGCCCGTGGAGCCTCCTGTGGTGAGTGAGGTCAGGGACCCCCCACCCACCCCAGGGCAGCCCCCAGCCCCTGCTGGGCAAGGGGACGGATCCTGTGGGATGGTGATGGGAACAGGGGCAGGCAGGGACTGTGTGTCCATCCATGCCTCACTGTTGCCTTTCCAGGTGACCAAGACCCCTGGGAACAGCACAGGCAAGGAGGATCCAAGTGTGCTGGGGACAGATGAAACCCGGGATGAGCTGTGAGCCCTGTCCTGCTCAGGCACGTGATATAAACCACCTGGAAACCATGTGGGCTCTGGTCTGTTTGCGGCTCGGGGAGCATCCACGTGTCTTGGGGGCACAGCAGGGGGTGCTGCCAGGGACCCTCTGCCTCCCTGGGGCATAACACTCATCCTGGCAGCCCCACAGTGACACAGGCTAGCCAAGGACAGGGCTGTGGGGGCAGCCCAGCACTCTCCATGCTGGCCCTCGTGCTGGCCTGCTGGGGTTCAGGTGATGGGGGCCAGCCAGGGTCTCTCCTTCACAGCCCACCAGCCCCAGGAGCTGCTGTCACATGCTCCCCTCAAGTCTGGCTCAGCTTCTGGGACCCCCAGCATCCCCTCCAAATGCCAGCACCATCCCCTCTCCCCTGGGCTATTCCTCCAGGGGCAACATGTTGGTCCCCTGGGGCCAGGACCTGCCCAGCCACCCTTCCAGGAAGCCCAGAGCAGCCCCAGCCCCACCATGTGCCCAGACCCTTCACCAGACCTGTGCCATCCTCTGTCCATCCCAGAGGCTGCCGGGGGCCCGGGAATAGCTCCGTGGGGAAGGAAGAAAGCAGCAGGCAGTGGGACGTGGGGTTTTATTTCATTTTATCCAAGTACCTTTGAAAAGATCATTGTACAAGTCAGCACATGAGAATGCAGAGGAAACGTCGCCGGGGCTGCGCGGCCGCTGTACATATTTACAGGGACCCCCGAGAAAAAAGGGGGAGACGGAAATCCCGGGCACGTTAACAACCTCACCAGACACACCACCATCAGAACTTCAAAAAAACAGGGAGCAAACCCCCCTGAAACGCTGTTCCCGGGCTGAAAACATCTGCAGATTTTGATGGACCTCACGTAGCATTTTAGGCAAGTCCCAGGACCGTGTTTTAAAGGCACTCGGTGACATAAAGAACAGGCTGAGTCGCGTCCCGGCGCGGTGCCACGGGGTGCCCGGCAGCCCCAACACTGCTGTGGCTGAGAGCAGTGCTGGGCAGGGCGAGCACTGATGTGGAAACCCCCCAGCTTTGGGGCCACTCCTGTTTCTGTGGGTGGGCAAGGGCTGGTCTCTGAAGGAGCTGGCACAGCTGTGGCCACACCAGAGCAGCACGGCCCAGGCTGGGGACAGGCAGGGTGGTGGGAGCACCGGCACAGCCCAGGCTTCCTTGCAACTGAGTAAGCCCAGGAGGCTTCCCAGGGTTCTGGGTCACCCACTTCTGCCAAATGGGTGATCTGGCCCTACAAACTGGCATCAATAACCCCCCTGGTGCAGTGCCCTCCTGCTGCCTCCCCTGAGACACAGAAGCTGACAAAAGATGCAGGACTCATAAAAAAAGGTGTTTTGTCCTCAGCTTTAGTGTCTCACAGTTCCCTCCCTATTATGGTTCTCCTAAAGAGTTCCCTGCCCAATGCCAGAGCTTGGCCCAGGGGTCTGGGTGTGTCTGCACCAGGCACATGGGTGCCAGCACCTTCTCCAGGGGCACACAGGGGATACACACATGAGCATGCAGGCCATGGGATGCCAGCACCCAGCCTGCCACCCCAGCTCCCAGCTGGTCCTTGCTCTGCAGGGAGCACTGACCCTTTTATCCCTCGGGGATTTACTCGGTCGCAAGGAAGCTCAGGAGGAAAAAAAAAAGACCCATCCAACCATATCCAGCAGCTGAGCCTGCCAAGGAGGCCAGAGACTGACTCCTTCCAAATGGCTCAAAAATCTTCACAGCCCCTTGGGACCCTTCCACGTGGGGTGACAGCTGCTCTGCCCCACGGTGCTCCAGAGCCATCCACGCTGGGAGAACGGGGCAGGGTGCTGGGAAAGCACGGAGCAGCTGGAGCCTGACGGGTGGCTGTACACTTTGGGCGAGTTCTGCAGTACCTGTATGCTTTACATTTACATAAGAGCACTGTGACATTGGAAATATTTTCCTTTTATTACAATATATCAAAAATATGCAGCTTTAGTAAACAAGGTCATATTACACTTTCTAATGCACTGTACAATGCTACATTACACTTATATTCGGTATGGAGAGGGAGCCCAGGCTCCCACTGGCAGGTTCATGGGGTGAAACGGCATCCACTGGCATCCTGGAGCTTGCCCAGGTCCGTGCTGGAGAGCGGGGCTGCCGCTCTCCGCCCTGGGCTCGCCCGGTGCCCGTGGCGGGCAGCAGCACCACCAGTGTCTGCCCCAGGCCTTCTCCTCCGGTCCCAGAGTCCTTCACAGTCCTGTCCTCGTGCCTCAGCTGCCCTGGAGCCTTAGTCAATCTTCTCCACCTTCCCAATGATCTTCTCCTCGAAGATGGGCAGGATGGTGTCGTCCTCCCGCACCTCCTCGAAGACCACACCACAGTCGAACTCGTCACTCACCTTCTTAAAGTAATACCTGCAAAAAGAGGAACATGGTGGGGGAGAGGGAAAAAAAAATGCAGCTGAATGGTCTTGGGGCATCACGGTCCTCAAACCTGGGTACAGCCCTTCCATGGCCCTGAGCTCGTGGTGCATGGGAAGCTGCTCCCCCAGACCTGGAGGCAAACGCCCCTGCCCTCACCCAGTGAGCACACACAGTGGTCAGGATCCATGCTAGCACAGTCAGGAGCTCCAGCCCTGAATCCAAGTCCGTTCACACCTCTCCTAAAAATAGTGGCCGAGGCACCTATGTTGGTGGAGCATTTCTAGGCAGGTTTTCCCATGGCCACTCCTACTTGGAAGGGACAACTTGGAGAGCTACATGCCTCTCACTTGGCTGCTTTGGGACTCTGGCAGGACCCAATCTCCCTGTCCTCACCAAAATAAACTCTGGGAGGAGCCAAAGCAGCTCTGAAGTCAGAGGGTCCCCACAGCATCACTGAGCATTGGCTGATGCTGCTGCCTACCAGCCCAGGACACGGCAGGGCAGCTCAGCAGCTTCCGCTGGAGCTGCAAACCATGATGCAGGACATTTCTGCTATAAAACCCGACCTCCCTCATCCCTGTAACCTGCCTCTTCAGCAGCCACATCCCCACCACAGCATTCCGAGAGGGAGCCCTCCTGACCGACCTCCACCAAGCTCCTTCACCGCGGTGGGGGCAACACCACAGTGGGATCTGCCGGGGATCGCTGGCAGTTGCTGGCACCAGGCCACGGGTGGGGAGCAGCCCTTACCTGTAGTTCCCTTTCTTGGTCAGCAGCTCCTTGAACTGTCCCAGGGTGACCACGCGCCCCTTGACCAGGGTGCGGTAGGGGATGGGCTCTCCACAGAAGTAATAAGCGACCACGATGTTCTCGCACGGCTGGGACGCGCCGCTGCCCGGCCTCTTCTGGGGCTTCAACCTGCCGAGCCAAGACACAAGGGACCTGCTGAGTATCAGCCCACAGTGCTCAGCACCGTCGTGTTGGGAGAGGTGTGGGTCAGGTCCTGCCAGATGGGCTGCAGGAAGTGCAGGGCAGTCCCCGAGCATGCCTTGCTCCCACCACCAGCCTCTCCCGGCATCCAGCTGAACACTGAGGCTGGTGAAGGAGCAAACAGCACTTGGGAAGGCTGGATGGTGCCCAGGACACGGTTCTAGCTCAATCCTGAAGAAACCTGTCCTCAGGCTTTGAGAGGGCATGGCCCTGCTCATAGCACGGTTTGGGGAGTCACTGGTAAGCTCTGGGCCAGGCAGAGCACCCCAGGCCCGTGGCAGCAGGCCCAGGTCACCCATCATCACCATCTCACCACGCTCCTGATGCGCACCCATGCAGGGGTGGAGCGTCATCCTGCAGGGCATGATCATGCAGACACTGCTCAGAGTGCTCGGGATTATTGCCACCATGGCCAAAACAGCTCAGCATGGCTTTCCACGGAGCTACATCTGCAGACAGGGCTGCCCCACGGCTCCCCCGGACACCTCTCCCAGTGCAGACGAGGTCAGAGGGGATGGAGCTCCCAGCAGGGTGCCAAGGCAGCTGCCATCCCCAAAACCTCAGCGACTTTATACCTCCCGTGTTTTTCCCGCTCTGAGAATGCTGGTCTGGTCTCTGTTCCCAGCCCACACATCGGGGTTCAGCTACGAGGCGCCATCACTGGACCAAAAACATCAGCCCAGCCCTCACCCCATTTTCAGAGACAGACAAAGGTGGCAATAACAAAACTCAGGGTACTCTGCCCTTCTGCAGAGCCTTTCATCTGGGGTGCCGAGGACGCTGCACAAACATTGGAGCAGCCTACACAAATTGGTACCTTGGCATGCGTGGTCTGAGCCAGAGGCAGCCTTCCCTTTCAAAGGCACATAAAGCACATTTGGCAGCTTTTAAAAAAAAAAAAAAATTATTTTAAAAGCACGCTGGATAAAAAAAGATGATTTTGTATTTACATGACTGGAAAGTTGCTGTAAAGAAACAGAATCTGCCAAGCGCATGAGGTAATCGCAGTTTTGGAAATGACTCTGACCTTAACCTTTAAACACTGGCTGGCGGGCAGAGCACCTTTTCATGGCGTGCCCACATAAACACTGGCACTGCAAACCAACACCAGACAGAGCTTTTTCAACTCCTCCTACAGGCATGAGAGGTCTAAAGTTCAACTGAACAACCTTCCGGGTGCCTGCTCTGCCTGCGAGACCTTTGGAGAAGATGCAGCATCCTGAGAGGAAAGGGTCTGCTCCTGGTGCCAGCAGAGCTCTCGGAGCCTCTCCCATCCCTGTATCAAAGCACAGGATGCCCTTTAGCTAGAAAAACATTAAGGAATTGAGTCATCCTTGGAAAAAAAAATACAAAGCATTTAAAGGGAAAATGGGTCATAAATTCAGGCAAATTCTGTGAACCCTGTGAGCCAGAAGTTAATTGAAGGGGTTTGGAAAACCTCAAAGTCCCTAAGCTTCTCTTAATCCTGCTAGAGACAAGTCATGACTAAGAGATGTGTGCCTGGGGACCTGGGGACACAGTGAAGTGCCTGGCACAGGCAGCAAAGCTGGCTCCTCAGGGCTGCTGTTCTCCCTTGCCTGGGAGGTGGAGAGGACAGGACATCCCTGAGCTCTGCCGTGGCAGAAGCAAGAGGGGACTGTGCCAGTGACTGGGAGCCTCCTTCCTCCTGCCATGCACTTCACACCCGAAAGGCCATTTCTGAACGTGCTCAGCCCAGCTCCAGCTCTTTCCAGAGCAGAGATGTGCCCCAAAATAATGCCTGAAATGATGCCCAGAAGTGGGCTGCTCCATGATCTTGCCAGGCACAGAGAAGAGACAGACTTGCCTTTAGTCTGCCAAGCCTTCCTTTTTCCCCGTTTTAAAAATAGGAACCTTTTCCAGTCAGTGGAAACTTATGCTGTGACTTCTCTAATACAATGGATAGTGGCTAAGACACTTCATCCCCCAGTGCCCTCAGATCTGTGGTGGATCTCATCAGGTCCCACCTTCAGGTTCCTTACATGGTCTCAAAACTGATCTCCCACTGCAGGTGGTTCTTTATTCTCCCAGTCCCTGCCTTTGCCTGCTGTGACTCGGGTGCTGTGCCTGGAGCACTCACCAGTGAAGACCAAGGCAAGAAAGACCAAGCCAAAAAAATACCTTCTGCATGCCCCATGTAACCAGCTCTCCCATTTCCTTCCAGAGAGGGTCCACATTTTCCCTGGTCTTCCTTTTATAACCAGTGTGCCTAGAGAAGCTTTTCTTGTTGCTTTAATTCTATCAGCAGAGCTGAGACACATCCCAAACCGCAGCCACAGACCTCTAGCAGGCTAAAGCAGAGCTGATGAATATGGAATCACTGAAAATGTAATTTTCCAAGAGCTCCTCTCAGGAGAATGAGGCAACACAACCGTCTCCACTTTCGTCATTGCCAAGACATCTCCTGAGACCTCGGCTTGCACATAAAGGCCACCAGACCATCTCCAAGCCCTGCTTCATTAAATCTTCCACCTGCACCCATCTCCTGGGTGGCAGTGTGACCAGAAACAGGTACCACTGCCCTGCCCCTCCTGGAATCACCTCCTGTTGCTGCGTTTGTCACAAGCACAAAACATTATCTGGTATGGAAACGACAGCATTCATCCAACTCGCTGCAACTGCATTCCAGTCCTGACTCCTGAGTTGTGTAACTCACTGGTGCTCTGACAGGGAATCTAAGTCTGGCTTACAGCACCAATCCAACCTCACTGTGACGCAGAAGTGAGGTGCCCATCTTGCTCCAACTCAGCCCTGGGGCTGGAGAGCTTTGAGAAGCCCCAAATGCACCCAGCAGATGTTACCTTGGGGAGTGTCATAGTCATCAGATCTGCTCCTCTTCTAAGCTTGGCCCAACCCAATTCACTCCAGACAGATCATGCTAATGTTCTCCCTGCTTGAAAAAATCCTTTCTCTGAAGAGCTGGTATTAATTACTTCAATTCAGCTGTGAACTGTGAGACTGAGCTACAGAAAATGGCTCAAAACCTGTCTGTACAGGGAAGAAACCTGGTGGTGACTGGGACACCACTGCTGGGCACTGCTGTGCTGCTGGATCTGCAGGTCACTCAGTACCAGACAGTTAATCCTGCAATGCTTGCCAGCAGCAGTCAGGTAGTTATCTTGGAGATGAGGTCATTCCAAATGCTGTGGAGCAGGGAGAGAGAGGTTCTTTCTGCAGTATGAGTATTTCTGGAAGAATATTTACAATTCCCAGCACAGAAACTGCAGGTGCCTCCTTAATTTCCAGCAGGGCAGTGCTGGAGTGGGAGTGGGGCTGTCAGCACCCTCAGCCAGGGCAGTGGGCAGTTGGCTGGGGAATCCCACTGCTCCTGAAGGGCTGTGTGGAGGGGAGGCTCTGGAGGGTCGGATAACTGTGCTGGCAAGGTCAGCCTGGCCATACAAAGCTGGCACAGCACGCTCTCCTCCCACAGCCAGATCAAGCAGTGCCTCAAGGACACCTCTGGGCTCACCTCCACCTTTCCGTGCTTCCCCAAGGCTGCTGACAAACCTGGGACACTGGCTCCAATTTCCCAGAGCTCTTCAGAGCTCCTGACTGAAATAAATGGTGTTTTTATGTGAATTCCCCTCTCATTTTCTCCTTTGTTCCCAATAGCCATGGGATCTATTTCCAGGCAGGCTCCTGTGCTAACCAGAGCAGGAGCTCTCTAAAAAGCTGCCAGCTCAGGTGTGCTTCAGCTGGAGCACCCAATCCTGCCAAAATCCAGCAGAGAGATTTCAACATGCAGAAATCTTTGGCTCCCTGGGGACCACTGCATCCATTCTTGCTACTGGGCACAGACACATTTGCTATTCATGAGCAGTTCCCCACTGGTGGAGCCCACATGGTTCCCAACCATGTCTCCCTGGTTTTCCACACACAGGGCAGGGCTGGGAGATCCCTGCATCACTGGGACAAGAGCCAGGCTCATGGGGAGGCAGTGCAAGCAGAGCAGTCCAGCACTGGGACTGTTCAGACCATCCTCCCGCTGGCCTGCACGGCATTTCCCACATGCCACGGGGTTCCTGTGAAAGCCACTCTTAAAATACACACCAAATTATTGTCAGAGTATTAATTGCATACACATATAGCTCAGGATGGCGTAGAGACATTTCTGGGGAAGGTGCATGAATTTAGTACGACTATAAATGACTCTACTAATAAACCCTATCCAATTACACCAGCTGAAAGGTAGATCACATAAACTTGGCTTAACCTGGCTTGGGAGAGCCCTCTAATTACCTGGCTTTCAATCAGTGCTCTGACATGAATACACAGAAGTCTGCCATGTGGTCACTGCAAGCAAAACACTGGAGCCTGGCAATTAAGAGCTTCTTTTTTAAATTCCATTTGTGTTTCTAAGAGTCAGACCGCAAAGATTCGAGTTTTCAGAGGACAGCTGTAAAGCTGTGAAAGGTTTTTAATGGACAAAGTGCTGTTAGCTGTTAACAGTAATTATCCAGCACTTCCAGAACGCTTTTCATTGGAGAGCTCCATGTGCCTCTTAAATAATGTTCCCTGACAGATAACACAGAGCAGGAGAATGAGCTCTGCAACAGGCAATAAGCTGAGTCACAGAAAGATGCAGTGACTTGGATATGGCCAGGCAGGAGGCAGGGCTGCTGCAGCAGGGCTACAGCACAGTGCTCTCCTCCAGAGCCACGAGCAGCCACTGCTGGAAGCTTGTGCGAGATGTAGATAAAGAGCAAACACATATTTGTCTTCTGCACTTAATTCTGCTGCATCCTGATGAATCCTGCTCCTGCACCAGCCTCTGAAGTCATGGTGGGGGCGTGAACAAGCAGAGAGCCACTGAGTACCAGGGGAGAGAGCTCTGCCATGCCAGGCCCATTCCAGACACGCTCCCCCTGCCCAGCCCCTTCCCACCCCGCCAGGAGCATTTCCAGCCTCTCCCTCCACAATCCACAAGCCCAGGCCCTCAGGGTGGGTTTTGCCATTTGCACCACTACATCAGAGGGACTGAGGCAGGTTTCTCTGACCTCTCTGCATGTGCCTCCACCCAGCTGGAGCTGAAGACTAGAGCAGAAGAGAAGGACATCCCTCAGCTGCCCACCTTCAGGGCAGTCTGTCCTGACCCTCCCATGCACAATCAGACCCTCCTGTCGTACCTTTGTTTAAGGGGGAGTTTTCCAGCCCTTTTTTCCTCTTCCTCCAACCTCCTGCGAGCTTCTTCCAGCTGGGTGAGAGGGTTGGGGGCCGGGTTGGGCGGCATGGTAGGATCTTGGATGAAGGGGTGAGAAGGCTGGACGACGTTCCGGAGCTGGGCACTGACCCACGGATGCACCGCGACGGGTCGCTCGATGGAGAGGGGCCGGACCATGTCGTGGGACAGCTGCTTCTTAGCACCTGAAGAGCTGCACAAACACAAAGGTTTTACATGGACCACCAGGACACTCTGAACAGGCACACAGCCATTCCCAGATGGACCTGCTGCTGGACACAGACACAACTGGGGAAGCTCCTCACAGCACGGCTTCCGAGGGAGAGGGGAGCAACATCAAAGTCTAGAGAAGATTTGAGGACAGAAAGTCCTGAGACATCAGGGTGAGCAGCTCAACTCTGACACAAACCTCACAGCTGTGTGTAAGGGCTCTCATCAATCCACAGTACATAAAAATAAACCCAGCAAAAGGCAGTTCCACAGTTTGTGACATTCCCCCAGAAGATGCCCTGTGCTACCATACACTGGTCAGCATCCCCAGGGAAGGGGGATCCTTCTCCTGCTCCAGGGGCAGAACTTGCTGCCTGACTTCCTGGTGGCCTGGCACTGCCCATGGCCCTGGCACTCAGGCCCAGCTGCCAGCAGTGCAACCTGCCCTGGCTTCTACTGTCATCCTTCAGAAAAAAAAGAGTCCTTATAGCCCCTGAGCAATCCTCAAACTCCAAAGGCTCTAAACCCTTGGTGTTGTGGATTCTTGCCTTCCCAGGATGTGCAGGAGCAAGGCTGACATGCCTTGTGCAGGGGATGCAATACAACAGCATGAAGACCCCTCTCTCTGCCAGCCCTTACCCATGGTTTGTTTTCTTATGCCTGCTGATCTCCTTCTCTCCTTCTATGATCCACTGAAGGATCTTCTGGTTTCTCTCCACGTCTTCAGGAGATCCTGGCATCTCATAGTTGGCACCATCACTTTTCCCTGAATCAGTCTTCTTAACATTCCTTTTGGAGAGCAGACTCGCTTTCCCACTGCAAGAACAAAGCTTGAGACATCAGTGCTTTGCCTGAGCCAAACCACTGTGGGCCGGGGCAGAAGATGGACATGTCTGTCTCCAGACACCTCCCACAGCCCCCTGCTCTACCAAGGCTCAAACCAACCATGCTGCAGTTTAACCTAAGAGCAAGACTGGCTAGACCTGGGCACAGCAACTTCTCTGCCCGGTCACTTGTGGGGAAAGGGAGCTTCTCCTCTGGACAGACAAGTCACAACCCTGTGGCAAGATCTGCCACAAGAAGGGTTGTGGCAGGTTAAACCCCCAGCTCTTTGCTCAGGGCAGGAGGTTCATCCTGGAGCTGCAATCCAATGGCTGCCTCTCCATGCCTGACCACTGCTTGAAACCTGGGTCCTTCCTATCTCCCCCCAGCTTCACTGATACCCCAAACTCTGACCTGCCATGCACAGCATTCGCTCCTCACCCTGATCTGAACCGAGGTTTCACATTGTGGTGGAAGATCACATCCCAGCAGGGTGGGCTGCCTTCCATGGGCAAGCCCTGCCAGCTTGCACACTGTAGCCAGAGGGGTGCCAGGCAGCAGCCCACACTCTGACTACACCTTTGGCTGCAGCAAAGGCTCCTACAGGAACCCCATGGCCCCTTGCCCACACATGCGTGGCCATGTGCCCAGCTGAGCAGCCCCAGGCACAGGAGGCCGTGCAGAATTCCCCTGTGCACAGCCTGCAATTTCATGGGACCCCCACTGTCCTAACCACCCACCCATAGGACCTCTCTCCAGCACATATAAGAAAAATAACCTAACCACTAGAGAGGAGAAACAGGCCCTTACATAGCTTTGCTGATTTTTCTGGGAAAAAGCCTGGAGAGGGGTTGCTGCAGATCTACAAAGGCAGGGCAAGCTGACATCTTCTCTGCTTCTCCCCACACAAGGATTAGTGGGTACCAAATGAAACTCTGTAGCAGCAGGTTCAGTGCAAACAGAAAAAATAAGCCTTTTTCTGCAGGTTGTCATCAACCCACAGACACAATCGTGAGGGGCTGGGGGGACAGCAACCCAGATGGGTTCAACAAGGAGCCAGAGAAATCACAAGAGACTGCAGGCTGCCAAACAAGACCACTTGGATGCAAACCCTGGTCCTGTGAAGCTCCTAATCTAAGGACTGCCAGGAACTGGGAGTTTGTGCCAGGGGAAGGACAACTCTGAGTGTGTCCTATTACAATGCCATTAAATATATGCTGTAGTTGCTGCTAGAAGGAAGTCTTTTGTCTAGATGGGGCTTTGCTTTGGTCCAGCATGGCCATGTCCAACTCTGATGAAGCAACAGCCCTTTCCCCACTGAAACAGGGCAGATTTAACTGCTTCTCCCTCCTGGAGAGCCTCTGCACTCTGCCTCCCTCCTGCCAGCCTGGAAAGCTGGTCCTGTCTGCTGCAGACCCAGCCTCCTGCCTTCATAAGACCCCAAATCCACAGCTTTGGGGAGCCAAACACACTCAAGGTGAGCACAACTTTCCCCTGTGGCTGCTCCATCCCCATCCCTCATCCTGGGCAGCCCTGAGCTTCACTCCCACCTTTGCAGTCATATAGTAACAGGACCAGCAAAATCTGCTGCAGCAGAGGAGCTCTGCCCTCTCCCTGCAGCATGGAGGGGATGGAGGAATTCAAACAGCCAAGGGAAGATGGACAGCAGTCCATGAAGCAGCAAAATGGCTTTTCTGGGCAGAGGTTGCCCTAGCCTGGAGAACACCCCCTTGGGACAGGCTGCCATGGCAGCACTGCAGCACTCAGTGCTTTGTTGGGAGGAGAAGGGGGCCCTTCTGGGGAAGGGGTTAGGCCTTGCAATAAGGAGGGGGGTTTGTCCTCTCATAAACACCTTAAGAAACCTGTTTCTGTTACCCAAACTTCGAGACACAGCCCTAACATGCAGCTCCTGGTCCATGGAGAAGCAGACCAGCACCTGCAATTCCTAAGCACCTCCACTGCTTTAAGGAGCAGAAAACCTACTTTATAACCAGGCCACTAAAAATCCTGGTTAGAAGGTGTCTTTCAGCACGAGATCACAGAGATAAAAACGGGTCTCATAAGGGTTATTGGGGCATATACATTTCTGAAGGGTATGAGCAGTGGAAGGCCCTCAAACCATGTCCCAGCATAAGGTTTCCCCAAAAAAATGTGGTTCAAACACTGTTTCATCTACATGCTACAGCCTCCCTAGAGAAGCCATGGCTTTGGGAATCCCGTTGGATGTTCCTTGACTCACCTGTAGCCTAAAGAGTCCATGGGGACAGGGGCCATGCCCAAGTTTTCACTGTAGTTTCTTGACTTTGTTGCATAGTTATGTGAATCTACATTCCAAGCAAAGCTGTTCTGCACTCGCTGCGTGGCCTCGGCCTCGATCTGCTCTTTTGGTTTCATCATGCTGTGGTGATGGATGTGGTGGTAGACATGTTTATGGTGGTACAAGTTAGCTGCATCCTGCTTCATTCCTGATTTTGTTGCGTGCTTGCCATGCCCCGGAGGAATTGTTCCCAGTGTCCCTGACACCTTTCCTAAGTGGCCGCTCTCCGGGGACCGTGGTTTAGGAGAGTGACGGCCGGGCCCTGGGGACTGGCAGCCTGGTGTTTTCATCACACGCTGGACGTGTTCATCCAGGATGCTTTCGGGGTTTTCCTCGTGGGCATCTCTCATCTGCACCCCAGCACAGCCCATCTCAGCGTAGCGAGGAGCAAAGTGATGGAAGGCTTGGGCGGAAGGCATCTTGTGGCTAATGACCGAGGGACCAGAAGAGATATCTGCATCCTCACCTTCTTCCTCCTGCAAGAAACACAGGGACAATCATGGAATGACAGCAGCGTGGTGGAAGGGGTCTCTAGTCCCACCTTCTACTTGGAGCAGGACTGCTGCCAACCTTCGGGTTAGGCCTGGTTTAATCCAGCCAGATCTTGAAAATCTTCAAGATGGAGATCCACCACCCCTCTGGAGACCTGTCCCAGACTGACAGAAAACTTCCAGTGCTCAAGCCAAGCCTCTGCAGTCTGGCTGTCACTGAGCAGAGCAGCTCAGGTCTCTGTACCTGCCTTCTGAACCATCATTAGCAACATTCTCCACGCACTCCCCAAGGAGACTGAGGTGAGCTCTGACAGGTAGCCCACACATCACAACCAGGGATACAGACACAGCTTTCTGACCAGCCTAACAACTCAATCAGGCACAAGAGCAGGCAGAACCTTACTAAAAACCTCTCCAAGTCCCCTGAAGGTGGTTCTGTAACAACCAGCAGCGGAAACACAAGTTACTGCACTGCACTTGTGACTTCCCACGTGCCTTTGGTAAGGCACCGCTTCAAAGCACATCAGATAAACCCAGAGCTACAGGATATGTGGCAAATCAGTTCTGAGTCAGGTGAGATGGGGGGGGGGGGGGGGGAGAGGGGAGTTCTCACCCAAATGACTATTTCACAAGGCAAAGCCAAGAGTGGGCTGCAACAGGAGGGGGCAAGTGAAGGTCGACAGCTGCATGAACGGTTTTGAAAATCAAACATTGATTTCTCCCGGGCATGCTAAGGCTGGAGTGAAACACTTCACGCAGATGAAGAAATGGGTTGGAAGTAACTGCTTGTTCTTGCAGTTCACGCTGGTCTAGGACACGCTGTTAGCGACTCTTAAGTCCTTGCCAGGAAGAATTAAACTCCTCCATGCTGACAGCCACAGTTTTGATGCTGACGAACTACTTTACGCTCCAACATAAACTCAGATATTTATGAAGTTTCTTTATTGGAAGTCAGGATTCCTATTTGTTTTAATTACATAAGCAGGATTCCAGCGAGCCCTTTAATCCTGCTCTCTTTTCCTCCTTTGGCACAGTAAAGTTGCAGCACAGGGTATCTCTGCCCTGCCAGATAAATGCATCTGCTGGAAAACACTGACTCCCATCAGCTTTGCCTGTCAGATGCCATCATCCATCACTTGCTAACCAGCTTCAAAGTTTCAGCTGCCAACCACACAAGAAAGTAAATAACAGACTTCCTCCCACTGTCACACCTGGGGGTTCAGACCTGGAGCAGGGACAATGGCAGGCTTTGAAAGTGCCAAAGGTGTGGGTGCTGCAAGCCTGGGGTGTGACATGATGCTGGTGTCTGGAGGGGACACATCACCTTCTAACAGATCACTTTGAAGAACTTCAGAGGCACCTTTCATCTACAGCCACTGCAGCCTGCCCTGGACACTGAGCTCAGGACAAGAAATGAGGAAGTCTGTCCTGACTAAACCCCTGCCACTGGGGTGAGCATTTGTTAGCAGTTTATGATAACCCAAATATATGCTCAGCACTTGGGAGGCTTTTGGGGCTGGTACCTCTCAGGTTTTAAACACCAGCTAACATTTCCTGAGGAACAGCAGTATGACCTTCCTGCTCAGAGCCAGAGCTCTGGCAGTGCTGTCACACCAGAGCAGGGTGGCACGAGGGTGGTCCAGTCAAATGGGTGTCTGGAATTTGGGAAATCCTCTGGCTGCCTGGAACTGCATTCTCTATGTGGATTTTTGCTTCAAGACTGAGTTCAGGGTGGGCTAAGGGGAGGAAAGGGATGCCTTGGCTCTCTCAGTTCACCTTCGCTCAGCTCATTTGTGTCACTGAGCAGATCTGGACCCCAAGCAGGACCACAGGCAGGAGCAGGTGGTGTTGGGGTGGGTGATGTGCAGGCAGGCCCTGGGGACCACCCCCAGCACTGGCCTCAGCCTCACATCAGGTAGGAGAGCCCCAACAGTGAGACAATGGCAGTAATGAAGGAGTTGGGGTGCCTATCCCGAGCTGTCATGTCTCCTTGAGCTGGGCAAAGGTTCCAGTCAAGGCTACAGGTATCAGTTCTGCTGAAATCTTTTCACCTGCTCAGTCTGCAGTGAAAAAACTACATGTGTGGTGTGGGCTCTGGAGCCGTGTTTTGGCATTTCACTGTGGTGAGCTGGGCAGAGCCTGGAACAGAGCTGGGCAAAGCCTGGCAATGAGCTGGGCAAAGCTTGGAGGTGAGTTGGGCACAGCCTGGCAGTGAGCAGAGCCTCAGGGAGGGTGGGGAACCCCGGGTCCCATAACCACTAGATGGTGCTTTGTTGACATAATATTGCCAGAAAGCTCTTCCAGCAGCTCCCAAGGCAGCGGCAGCCAGAGACGCAGCTCCAACTTTGCTGACTGTCTGCTGAGCTATTTTTACTCTCCAGCAAGGCTGGGGGTGCCCTTCCCTTTGAATTAAGAGGCTGAGAGCTGCACTGATGAGCTATGGGCAAGCAATACCTCGCTGCAAACCTCCTCTGCCTTCTCCCAGTCCCACCCATTCCCGACCTGCTGCAGGTTGGGAAGGCAAAGCAGCTCTGCTAAGCACCAGTGCCTGTTCCATCATCATGCAAACCATTTCCCTCTCTAGCCAAGCAATGTTTTATATTCAAATAGTGAGAATCTCAGCAGTGGCTTTGCTTCCCCTGGCTTGTTTTTCATGTGCTCAGTTCAGACAGAGCATGATCTGATACTGATCTGTACATGATACTGCAGCTTCCCTGCATGGATGTGAGGTTGAAGTGTCTCAATAATATGGGAAAAAACAATATCCTCTAATCCTCTCTCACACTGATCAGAGTAATTAATTAATTCAGAGTTTGGTTTTTTGGTAAAACAGAAATCTGTCAGACTTTTCAGTAAAAGGCATTTGGTTTCAAAATCAGATGCCTCCTCTCGATGTTACTGCATGATGTGGCTTTGAAAGGGAACCTGCAGGCAGCTCAGTATGGAGGAGAAAAATTCTTTCTTCCTAGCTTTTGCAAAATATTTCCAGCCTCTCTGCTAAGCTGATAACTACCTGGTGTGACTAACACTCGTGGTTTTCCCTGTGCTGCTGTGCAGTGAGCCATGCAGACCCACGAAGAGGTTACCCTGTAGTCTGGTGTTCAGGTCATAGAAAAAAGCCCCGTGATCTATCAGGATTCCAGCTCTCCCTCTTGCTGATACCAGCAGCTCCTGCACCTTAAGTGCTGACCTAAAAAAGCTACAATTGCTTACTCTGAGTTTTTCCTGAATGGCTAATGCCAGATGCCAGCCAGTCAATGAAATACATTCTGGAGACAGCAAAGAGGTTTAATATATAGCATTAGTGGGAGTCCTGGGCTTAAAAATAGATTAAGTCACACGAAAATGTGTTTAAACAGACTTGAATATATTCTCTGGCACATAGGTATTTGCTGATTTTATGGTATTGCTACTGGCAGCTTCTTCAAGGAGGCAGAGGGCTGGAATAATGTAGTTCAGTACAGGTGGGGGCTGCAACAGAGCCATGGGACGAAGAGAAAGAGAGCTCTAAGACTTAGCAGAAAATGCTGCTGGTTACATTGGCTTTGTCTAGAAAGCAACAGTCACCAGACAGGACAATAGTGCAATTCCAGAAGAACAGGAATCTAATCACAAAACAGCACCTCTGTGGCCTGTTCTTACTGGATGGGGAGCTTGTTGGATGGGGAGATGCCTGGAGCTGGAGGGGGCCTTACAGATCCTTCTGCCTTCCTCAGTTCTCTGCATTTGAAATGCAGATGGGATTTAAAGGGAACACCACAACCTACAGCTCTTTTCTGTTTAAAGAGCTACTAGATGAACATTTTAACATACTCCAGTGGGGCTGAAGGTTCTTTCCTGAAGTCCCAGGGGCTCAACTTCCCTGAAAGCACAGAGCCAACCAAGCCAGGCACCAACACCTCTGCTTTAAGGGAGAGCTGCAGGTTACTGAGCACAGAACCTTTGCCTCAGGGCCATGGCAGCTATTAACTGCAGAGACTCACAATTTCATCACACAGGGCTGCAGTTACACCGACACCAGTGACATTCAGTAACACCACAGCGTCCTCTGAAATCTCTCCTGTATCCCCAGCACAAGATGGAGTGTCTCAGAAGAAAAAATATGGTGTGAATACTGCTGAACAGGGGTCTCGCACAGGTAATACCACATGACCAGCACCTCACTCTTCACCTTTTGGAGCTTGTTGTGGAGCTTAAGGCTTTGAACACTTCCCATGGTTCACCTAACAAGTCCTCAAGCTCTGAAGGGCCCCAGAAGTACCAGGGCTCACAGCACTCAGTGCCACTGGCTGGGTATCCCCAGCCACCCCTGTGCAGTCAATGGGTTTCTTTACCCAGGAGACACATCAGATCAATTCCAAGTTTTCTAGGGATGTGTTAAGACACTGAGAGGCAGAACCCTTTTGGTTGTGGAAGAAACAGCCTGATAGCAGACACAAACACCTCCAAGCACAACATTCACCTGCCCTCTGGTTACCATTTGTGGAGGAAATAGGGATCACACGAGACCTCCCAGGGAAAGGTGAACCCCTGCTACACAGTCCCCATCCTAGCATGGGAGGGACTGCTCACAAAGTCAGGAGAGTCAGGGTGCCAAAGAAGGTGATGGAGAGCATCCATAACCCCTAACTTATGGCAGAAGTGGGCACTGCTGTGCCATGGCTGTATCTTACACAGGGAGGGAGCACTGGAGCTCACAGAGCCCTGCATGGACAGAGGGACAGCACCGTGAAAGCTCCTGGGGCAACAGGAGCCTCCAAGAGCCCCGTGTAAGTGCTGACCGTGGCAGTGGAGCAGGGAACTGGTCACTCCAGTTGCTTTCACAGCAGCTGAAAGCTCCCTGTGGTACAAAGTAGCCTCCCAGGCTGGCAGAGGAGGCAGGAAGGTTACTGACCGCTCGAACGCGTTTCAGGCGCTCCTCTAATTTCTCCTCCGCTTCACGTTCCTTCTGTACTTCCTCCAGACGATTGATCAGTTCTGCAGCAAACTTCTCTGGTTCCACATGGATATCCTTTGGCATTCGGTACGTACGCTGCAGGGAGAGCACACCAGGGGTTAGCACAAGATGCCTGAAAAATCACACGTTTAGTTGGAAGGCTTTGATAACTGGAAATGCCGGTCGTTCCGGTGGGGAGTGAGTGGAGGGAGGACAGGCTGGCAGGCACTGAGGTGCAGCCCAGGACCTGGGGGCTGGAATCTGAGCCACCTCCACGAGCTCCCTGGCTGGCACCAGCTCCACACACCTCCCCACGTAAGGGAAAGGTTTTCTGGAGCCACAATTCAACAAGTTTTTTTGGCACCAAATTCCACTTAGGGATGGATGTGCTTGGTTTTCTCCCAATGCACACAGGGTCAACAGGAATATCCTGGTCTCAAAGGGTGGGAAAAAGATGTACAGACCTCTCAACCACTCAAAAATCCTGTTCATAGCAGTTATGCTTTCACTTGGATAGGAAGGAGGACTCTGGTGCACACTTACTCAGTTTATCCCAGGAGGATCAGTGTATGCCAGTCAACCTCTGCCAAACAGCCCCTATTCCCACAAAGCATCCTCTCCTCCTGGAGGATCCTGCAGGATTGCATCTCAGCTCTTCAGAGCCATGCAACGATTCCCTGCTGGCTTTATCAATACAGCACCATTACAAGCACAGATGCCATTTTACTGCTTGCTCTGGGTGAATAAATGAATATTTATGGCAGTTCAAGGGCATTTTTGATTCCTTATGCTGAGTTACTTCGTCCTGAAATTCCTGAGCTCTGGGATAAGAAGTTTGTGAAGTATGAAGCTATCAGCTGCTGTATTTCCCCCCTCATTTTCATCCCTCCTGCAGTATTTTGTTAAAGTATTAGAAACAATGAAATGACACAGCAGAGATAAAAATTTAATTTGGAGGAAAAATAGTTGGAAAATTCAGCAGCACAAAACCCTGCATTCAAATGTTACAATACCAACATGAGAGTAAATATACACTCTATAGGACCAGAGATAAAACTAAATGTGAAGACATAATTCACAGCAAAAGAACAAATGCAGTATCAGAAGCAGACACGGAGCTTGAAAACTTTAAAGGAGGATGAGAGACCACCCGAATTTATCCCAGACCAGCCAAAAGATCAAAGCAAAAGACTAAAATACTGCTTTGCCTCAAAACCTGACAGAAGTATGCAAATCATCTTGGCTTTGCTGTCTCTGCCAGCGGCTGAGTGGAAGGCAGGGAAGAAAACCAGCAGCAGTAAGTACCCACTGATGGCACCAAGGAGCTGAAGGCATCTTTCATGACACCCCAGCTGGGTTGCAGAGGTCCCAATTAAAGCACTGCTTGTTTTGTTTGCCAAGAGGAATTGGTCTTCCTGACCCTGCCCAGCAAATCTCAATCCCAGTGACCCATCTGAGCTGGGAGTAGCCTCCACCAGCCATCCCTTCATCCATGTATGGAGCCACTGGAGAGGGCACAGCACGTGTGAGCTACCAGGTGGCTCCCACCCTGGGATGACATCTTTGCTGCCACCAGGACCTCCAGTCCTGCAAATCAAATTAAAAAAAACCCAAAATTGCAGATGAAGATTTTCACCAACAAAAATGTTTAGCCTTGAAATGCTGGCACAGGGGCTGAAGCAGCACCCTTCATCTTTGTGTTGTCCAGAAATGGGCCCCAGATGTGGCCCAGCACGGGAGAAGATGTGGCAGAGCTGGTTCCTGCTCTGTTACTCCCTGAGGAGCTTCCAGGATCCAAGTGATCTCTCTCTGTTCCCCGGCACAGCCTGGGGAGCACTTTGGGCTAAGGGAGCTGCTTTCTTCAGAAACCCCAAACCCATGACCACCCTCCATCCACCTCATGAGGCTGCACCAGCAGTTCCCAAGGAGGGAAATCCCTCTCTTGCCTGACAAGTCACAGCCTGTGGAGTGAGGTGCTCCTTCCCTCCTGCCACCTCAGACATGCCAACTCTCCCTGCGGTTGTTTATACGACAGCAGCACCAAGCCCTGCTCCGTTAGACACTTAATGAGCCTAATGAGAGGCAGCTCGGAGCTCAGCAGTTACAGTCTCAGGTCTCCCTGTTGCAGCTACCACAGAGAGGCACAACTGGGAAAGGATTCCTCTTTAATTTCATTGCCCCTGATGCAATGCAGCATCCCAAACCAAAGTCTCTCCTGAGCCTCTGGCAAGAGTGGGTGCAAAGGCTGTTTGGAAACCTGAGTGTGCAAGTCCTGTCACAGGAAGATGCTTCCCTGCAGGCCCAGCAACGCTTAAGGACCACAGCTCTGTCTCTGACGAGGATCTGAAGACATCTGGAATCACTGCTGTATCCAGGGAACTCAAGATGAGATGATTCTGGTCTTTTACAACAAATACCTCAGCATTTTTATCCAGAGGCTCTCAAAGGCTGGAGATGACTGAAGCTCAACTACAGAAATTACAATAATCGAAACCAAGAATCTTTAGGATAAACTAATTACCCTCTGTCTTCAAAAAAGCTGCTGCACCTGCAAAACCCACTGCCCTGTCCTTGGAGCTTCCCACTCAGCACAACAGCTTGCAGAGGGCCTCAGCAGCCTGTTGGAGGGTGCAAATGCAGCCCCCTCTGTGCAGCCATCTCTGCAAGGGTCTCCCTGAGCATCCAAGTTCAGTGCAGCTGGAATGAACCTCACTTCACCCCACGGATACCAGTTGTCTGTGCCCTACATTGTCCTGGTGGGTACCCTTAAGGGTGGCTCAGAGAGCTGGGAAGCAGGAAGCTCTAAGGATGAGCCACAGAGACTTCCCCAAAACTAACAGTATTGCAGAATAATGGATGCAAATTCCCTGCACTGAAACAATACAGAAAATTGCTGAGTGCTCTCTCTGTCTCCCTGGACAGCAAATATGGATTGCACTGACCTGGTTCAAAAAGACAACGAAGTGTTTGAAACTTTTATCAAAAGACAGGCCTGACTTCAGAAGGGAAACATGGGAGACACGCTCCATCAACAACCAGCCAGGCTGAGCATGTGCCCAGAGCAGGATCCTTCAGGGCTTCAGGATTTTGAACCTGCCTCCAGATTCCCACGGGCATACAGAGTCCTGCCAAGGGAGTCGTAAATAGGCTGTTTATTCTTCTGAAATCAGAAGGGCTCCAAATGCTTTTGTTCCAAGTCAAGGATGCAGTAAGGTTTAGGAGGATCAAGCCCTCCAGTCTGTACCAGAATGAGATCTCTGGACATTCTGAATCAACAATTCAGAAAGGAAATATTCAGTTTTAAAGAACTGCTTATTTATAGCTGTTTTCCCTATTGTTTTATTTAATGACCTACCTACTTCTATTTAATGCCACTAGTTAGATAGGTCTGTCCAGAACCAAACCACACTGAGATGGGGAGGCTGCACAGGACAACAGATGGGAGGCTGAATGCCAGGTGGACTGCCAAAAAACAAATTGCTTGAACTGGTCTGGATGGAGCAACCTTTCCTCGTGACAGCTCTGAAGAAGGAGTACCTATCACCAGAACAATGTCCTTGGCACATGAAGTGCCTGAAGCTCTGGTACCTTAGGGAAGAAGTAGCCTGTTAAGAACATGTGAGAGATCCCAGCTCTCCAGTAGTTCCACTTAGCTCTCACATTTTCTCCTTCTTTTCTTGGAGCTGATGGAGTGGGAATTGCATAGATTTTGCTCCATGAGGTAGGTGCAGGTCTGGGTTTTGATGGATTTCACCCTCCCTGAGAAACTGAGGTTTGAGGACCAAGTTGCACATCAGAACACACCAGCACCCAAAATGTGTGGTTCTGCCATGATCTCTGTGTGAAAAGGCTGAAGGGGAAGAATCTCACTGCGGTTTGCAGGTTCCCTTCGGGAAGAGTCAACCTCAACTGCTCTGAGACAGAACAGGCAGACTTCCAAAATTATATTGGGTAGAGGTCCCTCACCACCCCCAGGATCCATGGGCTGGGCTGAACCATTTCTCACAGATCTGAACAGGCCAAGGAATTCTGTGCTGGTAAATCTCCCTCTTCTACAGGAGGTTTGATGCCTCCGTGATGCCTGAGGGGCTGATGTTAGATCACAAGTCAGTCTTGGAAATGAAAAGACAGCAGGGTAGAGAAGACACAAGCAAAGAACTTCTGAACCTCCTTATCTCTTAGATTGGTACATTCCTCTGTGAGGTAAGTTTTTAATGGATAAATGGTGTTCCCATACCAGAAACACTTGTGGCAGAGCTCATGGTTACCCGGATTTCAGCATCCACTTTAGCAGCATTCAGGGATTAGCAAGGAGTCCCACTGCTGCAAGGCATTTGAGGGAAATGGCATAAAACAGCCAGTGAGAATTCCAAGCAGGTTCCCAACTCGCAGGAGCAGAAATCTCATTTAGCTGTAGTTATCCAGGCAGCACGAGACCAGGCTCCTCCTGTGAGCTCCCCACTTGTGCAGCACAGCAGAGTGGTCACTCACAACCTTCTCAAGAACACTACAGAAGCCACCTTGCAGGATCCTTGATTGTGGGGCAGGACAGAAGAGCTCCTGCCCGATGATCAAGTTACAGCAACAGCATCACAAAATGGCTTCTTGCAGTTCAACCAACCAAATCCCAAGTCTTAATGCTTGAGGATGGATTTTCTGAGTTTGCTGTGGAAAAGGAGGATCTCCCATCCTCTCCTGGGAATGGATGAATGCCAGAGCTGGGGTAAATACAGGGTATTTACAGGTACAGCTCTACATTCTCTGGGCTTTCTCCCTTCCTTTGAGAATTTGCTTGCTCTTTCCTTCCTTGGTGCTCCAAGACTCTGCTTAAATCCAAGAGATGGAAAACCACATGAAAGCAACACTCACTCACTGCGTAATGGGTTCCTGCCAGAGGCACAAAACAGGCACCCACTGCATTCCTGGGCAGAGAGCCACTTCAAAGAACACAACTTTTCCAAACTTAGAGCACTGGTGAGTTGGTAAGTGTGGAAGATGTGAGCTGGTAAGTGTGGAAGATGCAGATCACAGCCATTCACACAACTCCTGCTGCAGAGCAGGGCATCCTACATACCCAGCACATGCTGTCGTTACTTGGAGGCAGCACGGCTGGTGGAACTGGTGAGCAGTCTCCTATGAACATGTAATCACTGCAGTTTATAGCTGCTGGACCTCACTACAAGGGCTGCTATTAAAAGCAAGAGAAGTCCTTTCAGAATTTTGCATAATAGCCCCGTAAGTCATTTGTCAGGGAACAGTAAGGACTCCTGAAATGACTTTCGGAAGTAGGAGGTTCTCTATTATCAGTAGGAAAACATGCCGTGCATTCTGCAGGCACTATCAGCATGGACTCTGCCTACACTGGGTAGATATGAGTCCATAAAGACCTTCACTCAGAGGTTGTGATTTCGTCACTGCCACACGTTAAAAAGCAGTTAAGCCCCGGGTCCAGCCTGCTTTAGCCACGGGCTGTGAGACAGCCCAACCACCGGCTTCGGAAAGCAACACTTGAAGGAACATTTGCATGGCTCCTTGCTAATTGGACAGCCCAACCACCGGCTTCGGAAAGCAACACTTGAAGGAACATTTGCATGGCTCCTTGCTAATTGGGGCCCTTTAATTCAATCAGCCTGTAGTTAGAGGTGAATTTTAAAGAGTAACTTTATAACATTTCACACTGGTGTTGTCAAAACACATTGTCTAATTACCTTCTCCTTTCTTGGCTGATTGATAAGCAAGGGCAGAGCAGTGCCTCTCTGAAGTCGATGCCAATTCTGTGTCAGTAATTGGCTGGCAGGAGGTGCCAGAGTGTCTGAAGTAAACTTTTATTCCCTGGAGAAAGACTAGAACTAACTCGACTTCTCAGTCCTCTGCTCCCATATAAATATGTGTCAAGATGCCTTTTTCCCTGGGACTTAAAATTACAGTGCAGAACCTAATGGGAACAGTGGATGTTTCACAGAAAAATCCTTGTTGAAGCATCTGTGTGTAGTTTAGGAAGAATATGTAACTCTAAAAGAGTGTGTAGGTAAATAGGATAATATGAAAATTTATAAGCAGCAGGTGGCCAATTTAAACCTTGTTTCCCCCCCCTCCCTTTTTAAACTGGTTTCCAAAAAGGTCGATAAAATTTAATGCTAAGTAAAACTAATTAGCCTGCAAGGAACTGCTGCTGGAATGACACTTATTCAGTTCAACAAAAGAAATGTTTGGCAGATGGAAGTTCGTTAAAGCAGAGCTCACTATACATATTTAATGCTCCAAACTCTGAGTTTATAACCTGCAGTTCATCGAGGCATTGCCAGTGCACACCATCAACAGAAAGCCACTATTATTTTTATCCAAAAGGTAAAGCCACTGACAAGCTTTGAAGTCGGAGAATATTCACTCAGTAGTTCCCACTGTTGGGGAACAGCAACAACAATAACAACAAAAAATAAAGGCCAAGCTTTCAAACTTCAACTCTAACAAAGCCATGCTTACAGTAAAAATGGCATCAAGTGAAATAAAAAGGCACCCAGCCAGCCTTTTCAACAGCAACCACACTGTGAAAGCAACTGTGTGAAAAGAGAGGTGACTGAGCAAGGATGGCTATGAGCGTCCACAGCCAGGGCTTTTATTGTCAACCCAGTGATCAAAGCACAGGAGACCCTCTTAAATCTAAGGAAAATAATCTAATTTAAAAGGCAAAACAAAGAGTGGTGGTTTTGGTGTGGTGTTTTTTTTTTTTTTTAAATCAGATTAAAACAAGGGTGTATTTCTGCTGGTATTGTGCTGCTTTGAGCAGGCAGGATGAGAACAGCTGCGTCAAGTTTGAAGGCACTTCTGGAAAAAGCAGATGGAGGCTTTTTTTCTCCCTATTTGATTTGTGCTGGAGTCCAGCTGTCCAAAGGGGAAAGAAGCACCTCTATTCCCTACTAGATATTAAATGTCACCTGTAACTTCCCACAAAAAGAAAACAGTAACAAGCAGAGCCGCAGATGGGGATGCAGAGCCCTGGCAGTCGTGCTCATCTTCCAAAAGCTGTTTGCTTACCTGGAGCAACCAAGTGTCAGACAAATGAGATACTTAGGCCTGCACCTTCTTTGCTCTCCTGCCTTGTAACCCCAGGTGAGCTTTCCTGAGTCCCTGAGAACAGGTTACAGCTCCCTTTGGCTGCTCAGGGCAGAAATACTGCTGGGGACTGTTGCATTTCTCCCCAACTGACCTTGGCTGAGACCTACATCAGCCTCCATGGCCAACAGCCTGCTACACCTTCCACAAACACCTCCAGTTCACCCGAGGGCACGTACCCTGCTTGCAGGTAAATGCCAGCCAGTGCTGCCATTCTCATCCAGGAGAAACAGCCAGCTACTGCCTGAATGGTGAAGAAAAAGGTTGTGTTTTGGGCAGCCCTGCACGGTGAGTTTGGCAGAAGGCTCCCAAATCCTTTCTTAGCACGTTGTTTAAAATTAATACAGTGCTAAAGGGGGTTAAACTCCAGCACAAGCAGAGCAACTGCCCACTCCAGATCTCACATATTTTGCATATTTACCTCTGGGAAGGAGATAGTGCTACTTACAGGAATGTGAGGTAGTGGCACGCGTCCATTTGCTTTGGCACTTTCTTGCATCTCTCTGCGATGCTGCTTTCGGAGTCTGTACGGTGGGATCCCATCTCTGCCGGAACAAAACAACAACAGGCCCTGCTTCAGTGCCTTTCTCCAGCACATTTCTGTCACTCACACCTCGCTGACACAGAGTGGCAGGTAGGAAAGCCCTTTATGTTTGAGGAAGGTTTTACATGCCCAGAGCAAGAGGAATCTGTGTGGGGAACGATGCTTGTCCAGTTGCCCACACCAATGACACTCTGGCCCTGGGGGCTGGGGGCACTTACACAGCATCCACCAGGAGCAGAGCAAGGCAGAACTCCTGCAACTGCTGCCCAAGGCAGAGGGCAGGGAGAAGGACTTGGACTGCATCCTGGTACCTTTTATAGTTGGTTGCTTTCTATAAAGAGCCTGTAATGTACACATTAAACCACAGGGCAGGCTAGGAGAGGGGGGAGAAGGAGGAGTGGGAGCTCAGTGAGCATCTACTCCAAGGGGAATTTGGTCAGGGAACAAGGTATATATTTTTAAGAGAGCGTGACAGCTTCTCAAATGGCTTATCAAAGCAAAAGGGTAGGCTCCACTGCTCCCAAGGCAAGCTCTAGCTCAGTCTGAAATTATGGGCTTGATACTGAAGTTACTGTGGGGAAGAACCCAGCCCTCTCCCCAGAGGAGGCTGGGCAAGGTTAGGAAGGGATGCCCAACTGAACCACCTCCGTTTGGGTTTGTGCCTGTGCTGGAAAAGCAGGTGAGGGAGGTCTCTGCAGGGGAAGGAGACACTGCTGGCCACAGTCCTCGGTCCTGACAGACTGGGAGTGTGGTCCATGGCTCTGCCATGAGCCTGGGTACACATGGGTCCCAGCAACAGGGTGTCAGCGGGTCAGAGGCACCAGGCTTTGCTAAGCACCCCAAAAGGCAAAGCATCACTGGATGAGTGTGATTTCAGGCAAAGGAAAGAAACACATTTTTGTTCTCACCATTGACACCACTCTGCTCACACCCCGGGACAAAAATGTGAGTGGATCCCAGTTATGAGAGGACACAAGACCCATCCTTGGTGACATTGGGCTATTTGGGGAAAAAACAACAAATGCAAACCCAAATGCCAGCCTGGAGCTTGGCAATTTGGAGCTTTCCTTTTTTATTTTTCATATCTCTGATTCAGCAGAAGAAACTGCCTGAAACGGCAGTGTAGTGCCACAGAAATGGGTGGAAACAAATGGAGGGATTTGGTAAATCCCAGGTACCAAATAACTTCCATGTACAGGAATTGTCTCCTGCCAACCCTGCACCCCTCTGAGCTGTGCAAACCAGCCAGTCCCCACACATCTCACAACAACAAGATATTTGAACAAGCCAAATGTCCTTAGCACCTACCCCCCTGCCCAGCTGCTTCTCAAAAAAACCCAAACAGTTTCACCAGCACATTTTTAAAGTCAAGATGCCATTTGGCAAGAGAAAGACAATCTACTGCGGTGTTTTGCCTGCAAACCTACTGAGTTTCAAGCAGCAGCCTGTGTGAGGATGGCCACCATCAGCTCTCATTCCCATTCCCATCGTGCTGGCTCCCTGGAAATGTTGGTGCGGGCAGAGTCGCCACCAAATTACATGAGCAGAATATATTTTCATGCAGCAACCCAGGCATTCAAAATGAAACGCCATTAAAACAAAATAAAACCCGTGATTAATGACAACTGCTTTTTAGTAGGAAGACAAATGAGAGAACAGAAAATGAGCCAGGCTAATTACAGCTCTGGAGAGTGGCTGCAGGTAATGCGAGAGGAGGAAGAGCATGTTGGGAGCACCACCTTCCCTGTGCCCAGAGTGACACGGCTCAGGAGCAGGGCAATTTCCCCACACTCTGCTGTACCAACAGGGGTTACTGCACCAACAGGGGTTACTGCAGTGTTCATCAGGCCTCATTTTCTTTAATGAGAAAGCTCCATCTGAACTTAAGACTCACAACAGTTACAGAGTTTCACCGCATCGCGAAGGGGCTTTTTCTGGATTAATGGCAACAAAACAACTGGCAGTTTTTAGAGGAGAAACAAAAGCCAGGGGGATTATTTTAGCCATCGCTGGTCGGCATCAATAGACAACATTTCAGCTTAACCACTGCACAAAACCCGGGCGCCAGAACACAACTCGCACGCTAAAGCCGTGCGGCCATTCGCGGGGAAAGCGGCATTATGTTAGAAAGTGCAATTTTTCTTTCTTTCTCTCTCTCCCCTTTTTTTTTTAATTCTCCCCAGCAGCAGTCCCAGCGGAAAGAGCGACTTTTGTTCCCAGCACAGTAGCGAAAGGCTGATAATGGCCTCTAATCTATCCGGCTTCAAACACATGTTCAGCCCCGCTGTGCTGCCTTTGATGTCATTTTAACTAGATTCCCCAATGCCACCTCTGAACTTGGAACATTCCTTCGTTCAATGTACTGTGCCAACTCAACCAGAGGAAGCAAATTCAAAGATAAGCACTTTAATTTTATCCCAACAAAACCGTATTCAATAGATGGGGGGAAAGCAAGGAAAACCAATACCGTACTTTTGTTTTCCTTTTGTCAGGTAGCTTGCTTTGAGATATTTTCAATAGATAGAGAGAAATAATATATATATATATATATATATAAAAAAAATCAAAACTTTTTTAGAGTACATCTACTTTTAAAATAAAACTTTCTCAAACTGTTTTTCCCTGTTTCACCACGTGATTTTCTTTAGCACCAGAAAACTCAGTGCTGAAGTGCAAGGGGGGAAGAAGAGTATTTCTATCATTTATTTAATGATAATGTAATTGGTTTGCTGTTGGGGAAATGTGGAGGCTTCCTCCCCTCTCCAAACTGATCTGGCAAGAGCCTCTGGTGAGCAGGGAAGTCTGGCTGTGGCTCTGCAGCTGGACTCTTCTAAGAAGAGCTGCCTTTGCTCCTCTGTAGACACCCTCCAAACCCAACCATTACACCTAACATTGGAAATCATCGTTTGGGATCTTTTAAATTAAAAAGCTGTTAAACTTGTTAAAATACAGCAGAACTCAGCTTAATTCTGGACCACTGGCCACAGGACAGACAGGAAACAAATCCACAGTGAAACTGGTATTTTCTACCAACTACTCTTACCAAAGCACCTCCAGTCACGCGAGAGACCTTTCTCACATAAAAGCAGCCCCATGGGAAAATCACCAGGCATTTTGGCCAAAAGGCAGTCATCCAAGGAATAACAGTTAATTTACAAGGCTTTTGAAGGAATAACTACTGTCCTAAACCCCTTTGCTCTGGGGAATGGCCATCCTCACTCTGGAGCAGGTTTGACTGGAAGCGGGGAAGGAGCATCCCTCTGGCCAAGCCCATAGGCACTAAGGGCTTCCCAAGTGCCCTGGGGGAAGCCAAAGCTGTCTCCCAACCAAGATAAGCCAGGACACATGATAAGACCCAGAGGAAGGAGTATTGTTTAGCTGGAGCACAACAAAGGGCTAAAGAGGAGATATTACCTCCTGTTTACCACTGTAAGGTCTTGCAGAAATCAAGATAGATATGGATCTAAGGTATTTCTGCATCTGAATTGGAACATCATATGGCAATTTAATGCATTTCAGCTGCTTCCTGTTGCCTTCCTACCTACAGTTGCCTCAATTTGCCTCAAGCATCTCTGTTGTGACATCCCCTTCTACCCACAGGCTGCCTCCTCCACTTGGGAAAGATGCTATCCCCATGCAGGGTTACCTGAGACAGCAAGAGCAGTTTAGGACTGTGCTGGAAATGCTGCTGCAAGGCTGGGGCAGGCTCTGAGCAGCCCAGGGGGAGGTAGAGCCCCAAGGACCCTCCACTGAACAGCAGCAGTGAACGGCTCGGCCCCACCTGCCGGGCCAGAGCTCGCCGGAGCCTCTCGCCGTGTCCTCCCCAGACCTTGCCTCCACACAGACCAGCTAAAACAACACAGCTGCCCTGCCGATTGTAAAAACAGGTTTCAGCAGAGAGGACTGGAGCTGTTTTGCCTGCCAGGGCAGAGGAATTCCTATGACACAGGAAGACTGAGAAATAATCAGCAGAACGCAGGCGTTTAAGAGCAATGTTTTTTAAGCCACTCAAAAAGCAAAGTACTCCGACGGGGACTGATAACACATTCGTTATATAAATTCAACCCATTCCAATAATATTTTCCAGAAAGACATGCTGTTGAAAGCTGGTCTTTCAGGTTTGTAGCTGGTATCACAGCTTTACAACCCCTTTGGTGGGCTGGGTACTCCCGAAAAGTCTGTGCCTGCCTCCCTTCGCCCCAGCTCAGGAGCCCAGACAGGCAGAGCATCACTCAGGTCTTTGCCTTGGGATCACACCCCACTCATGTGCTGCCTTGGAGCACAAGCCAGATTTCTTCACTATTAAGCATGACTGCTGTATGTAAACAGCACACAGAGGGAAGAACCTCACTCATCAGCAAACGAGGCTTTTATTGCCATTTTCCTCAGAGGAGGCCTAAATTCAAAGCACGGAGACATGTAAGTCTTGTCAAGCAGCAGGAGGCCCTTCTTTAACTTCATCTGGTTGTTCTTCATTTTTGCTGCCTTGAGCAGTTCTGCAAAAATTCCTTTGAAACTCAGGAGGCAGATAGGTTCAGCAATGCCATGTAAGAACCGAATAAAATCTGGTGCTGGAGTTTTAAAGCACGTAATGAAGAGCAAGTGCTCTGAAAACAGGCAGAGCCTTTGTAAGCCAAAGGTCAAGGTTGTACATCCAGAATCCCAATTTGGGGATCATTCTGCAAGCATCCAGTCTGAGATGCATCGAAAGAAAGATCACAGGTTTACCCTTGTGGTGTTACTTAAAATGAACCATTAAGACTGGGTTAATTAGTAGCAGAAGGCAGCGCGTGTAGTGGTGGTAATTAAAGTCCTAGAAGCAGACTATGGAGGGCATAGGAGGAATAAAATGCCTAAAGGAAAAAGGAGCATAGGATGGCCAATCAGAAATTATTCTGTCTGTAAAAGAAACAAACTATGGCTACTAAAATAAAAATTAGGAGAGTGAAGAACTCTGGTATAAATGATCACAACTTATCGCAGGTATAACCGTCAGAGCAGCCCCATGAGCCTGCTGGACAAGTGGAAAAGGAAGTGCTAAAAGCTAATTAATTTTGAAGAGTTCTTACATCTGTCTCTCCTGATAGCAAGAAGTTACAAGACCCCTGATAGTTTCAGAGCACTCCTCCATATAAATTGATGAATATGAAGAATTGCAGAACGATGTGGCAGAGCAGCTGGATTTGTATCAAATGGAGCCTTTAATTAGTGGCCCTCTACAGTGTTCTGTCCTGGGGGCATCCTCCTCTTCCCAGGCCCCTTTGGACAAGGTCTGCCTCCTCCATTTGCAGCATGACATGGATAAGGAGCGAGGGGCTGGTGTCAGGGTGCAGAATGGACTCATAGATGCTCCTACAGGGTCCCAAGCCTCCGTGGAGCCAGAGAAAAACCAGACATTCCTGACTCACCACCCCAGACACAGAAACCCCCTCACCACCGTCCCACGGTATGAACTGAGGGCAGGTGGGGAACTGTTGCAACACCCATTAACAATTTCTATGGCACAGGCTGGAAAGTTTCTCCAACAAGGTCTGACAGCTCCTGACATTCACAGTGACACTAAATGAGCCTCTTGGAGGACTCTGTGTTTACAGCACTGCCATTAATAAAACCCTCTCCTAATTCTGTAAACCTGTCATCTTTCACCTGAAGAATCAAAGGGTTTCTACTCTACAGAAAGACACTTTGCATTTGCACTACTAAAAAACAGACCAAACAGCGAATATTTTCCCCCAAATCCTTTTTTTTTTCTATCACAGAGATGCAGTGGCAATGAAATCTCAAAAACCCTTTTTTCTCCCTTTGCAGACCACCCTTAAGGCAGGTGTCTCGTGGGTGAGATACAGAGTGCTGTCATGAGGGGCAGAAAGAGAAAAAAACAGAAAAGATTTGTCTGGGGCTTATTGGCACAAGTTGTGTTAAAGCACAGTGGTCACCAGACAAACTAGAACTGGTCAGTCACCAATCCTACTGAAGAGCAATTGCAGACTGAGCAGAGTTACTCCATTTGGAGTCCAGTCAATCTGTGTCCAGTTCTGGTCTCTGGAGATGTGGAGCTCCTGGAGCCAGTCCAGTGGAGGGCAACAAAGGTGATGAAGGGACTGGAGCATCTCTCTCGTGAGGAAAAGCTGAGGGAGCTGGGGCTGCTCAGCCTTGAGAAGAGACACTGAGAGGGGACCTCATCCATGTCTGCCAGTATCTGCAGGGAGGTGTCAGAGGGTAGACCAGGCTCTGCTCTGTGGTGCTGAGCAATAGGACAAGAGGCAATGGGCAGAAACCGATGCACAGAAGTTCCACTTGAATATGAGGAAGAACTTCTGTACCGTGTGGGTGACCAAGCACTGGAACAGATTGTCCAGAGAGGGTGTGGAGTCTCCTCACTGGAGATATTCAAGAGCTGTCTGGACACAATCTGGTGCCATGTGCTCTGGAATGACCCTGCTTGAGCAGGGAGGTTGACCCATTGTGGTCTCTTCCAACCTTACCCATTCTCTGATTCTGTGAGTTTGGCAGCATAAAACCTCAAGAGAAGTACCCACGCAATTAGAAAGCTCTGTCTGACATTCAGAAGACACTGTAACTCAAATCACTTACTACAAAGCCAATTCTTCTTGCACCTGGCAAGAAACATTGCAGAAACTCCCACCGAGCATCATTTATTTTAGTTCACTCCGAGCATTTTGTGTTGCAGCCTCAAAACAGCTGAAGAAGAAGTGAGAATGGTCACGACCGTGGTCTGTTCACACAGTCCCCTGAACCCCAGCTGTGGCAAGGCCTCTCCCAGACCAACACAACAGCAGCACCACTGCTGAAGACACAAACATGCCCCTGTCCCAGCAGGATGGAGGTACTCACACGCTGCTGTCTGTCAGCGACATGGTGTCGGCGTCGCTGGACATGCTCTGCTGCTCGCTGTCGTTGGCACTGGTCGCCGGGGCCAAAGCGTAGCCCGTGTTGACATAGTAAGGGTTAACAGGCTCTCTCCACGACCCATGTCTGCAAAAAAACCAGAGTCACATCAGAAAGGCACAACCAGCGCCGGCGACGGGCTACAGAACAGGCTGTGCTCACACTAAGTTACACTGATAGAACGACGAAAAATTCGACTCATAATGGAAGAAAAAGGGAATTCATAGTGTAATGAAGATGATACTGGTAGAGATAAAGAAGGGAGGCAACAAGACTGCATGAAAGAACTCCAGTTTCCATCGCGATTTACAGTGTACATGGGCTAGCTGCTTAGCATTGTCATTACATGAGTATCTAAAAGCAATACCTGGGTAATAAGACAGCATTTTTCTCAGTCAGAATAGGCTTCGACTCTTCAGACAGGGAGGGATGTGTAGCACAGCTCACCCATTCCATGCTTACTTTAACATCCCTCTTTACTCCAACACGTTTGCCGAGGGAGGGAGGTGACGCAAGGAAAAGCTGTTGCTCACAACACAGCACCTAAAGCTGACCTCCAGTCTCACATTCAGGTACACCACATACTTGCAAATTCCATCAGGAAGGACCATGTAATCACACTGACTTTTCCAATGGACAATCTGATCGTGGATCTACAGAGGTTAGTTTGTACACAACCTTGTTATTCAAGCACACATTCAGGCCAGACTCCTCTTCAGCAAAATGTCAGGAAGAGAGGCTGCCTTGCTCAGTTCCTGGCTCAGGAGGAGACCTGCATTGATGGTGAAGCAGCCTGTGAACCAAGCAGGCAAGAACTCCTTCACACTGACTGCCACTGGCACAGAAAAGCTACTGCTGCCAACTCTGCCAGCTCTGCTACCCTGCAGGACTGACAGGCCATGCAGGCAACTTGTTCTCACTGCAAGTCATTTTGCAATTTGCCAGAAGGAGGAACAAGCTGAAATGTTCACACCAACCAAACATCATTTAATCCCCTGTTCTCCCTGCCTGCCCCTCTGCATGAAGAGCAGCATTTGTAAGGTATCTTAAGAGCTGATGAATTCCTGGGTTTTCCAAGCTCTGAAAATCAGAGTCCTGTTTTAATTCAGATCACAAAGCTCATCAGCATGATCTTTTATTTAGTAACTCAGTAACTGGCACCTGGTTGATGTGGTTTGCAATGGGCCCTGAGTAAACATCTCCATGGAGGGCACATCATGCAACATGTGCTTCCCCACTCTGCCGTGAACAGCGGTTCTGGCTGAACTGCAGTGGTCAAAGTCCTACAGACAACAGAAAACAGCCCCTGCCCTTATGAGTTTACATTTAGATAAGGCAAGGAAAGCCATGAGAAAGGCACAGATGGAAGGCCCAGAGGTGAGGAAGACACCATCAAAGGGAAAAGCTGGCAGTCTGTGCCTCTTTGTACGGAGTATAAACGCAGGACAGCCACTACATGAACTGGGACTGGTGGAGAACCCATTTAAGGTGGAGGTTTTTGGAAAGCTGGATGTATAATATGGCACACAGTGTAGCAAGAGGGAAGCAATACCAAAGTATTTCAAAACCTGAACTGGACAGGGCTACAGCCTTCAGCCAACACACTGCTCACTCAGCTCCTATTCGCCTGCCCTTCGGCTCCTTGACACACAACCTATTCTCCTTGTAATTCAAGGAGTCATGGATGCTCACTGGCCACTAAGAAGAATCATATTGTTTCAGGTCCATTATGGGATCAGTTAGAAACAAATTACTCTCCTATCCTCACAAAGAGAAAACTAGTATTTTGTTTGCCACAAATCAAACAAAACTCCAAGCTGTCTCTCCTTGGATGATGAAGCTCAGCACAGCTGCCTGGTAAAAAGAGCATTCATGGTTGTTTGAGGAAAAGAGAGCCTTGTGAGGTTTGTCCATGCTCGGGTGCAACACAGAGTCAGTTGGGGATGAAGGTTTACAGCTGCCTTGGGATGGTGAGTCACCACAGAACTTCCAGCACACAAACTTTCTGCCTGTCACTGCCAATGTGCACTGGAGCAAACTTATTACTATATTCCATCAGATTTCAGAACGGCTTTCTAGGGCAAATACTGGAAATAATTTGAACAAGTTCAACCTAAAAAGCAAGGTATAATAAGTGAAAACCCAACCAGGCCCCTTCACCATTTCTCCCCCTGCAGAATGGTCAGTTCTGAGCATTAAAGGAGCGCTGTGCAGTGCAACCCTCCTGTCAAATCTGACATGACAGCTGCATGATGGAGGCTGAGACAGCCTCTTAAATTGAGGCAGGAATGATGGATAGCTCAGGCCTTCCCTGCGGGCAAAGAGAAGGATGCTTTTTGGACAACCCAATTAAAATACAGCACCAACTTCTTCTAGTGGACCTTCCGTCAGGACTCTCTGGAAGAGGCATGGATTATTGCAGCAGTATATTAAGAAAGAACTACAGTATAGAGAATAAAATGCACAGCTCAATCCATTTCTGCTTTGTATCTGCTGATACAGAGAGAGAACAGCAGAAAGCATCTGAAGAGGTTGCTGGGTGTGGAAGTGGGCTGGCTGAAGGAACTGAGAGCAAGCAGATGGGTGCTGGGTGGTCCCTGGCCCTTCCAGAAGAATCAGGATGGATTTGCTCTCCTGCAGCAATCCAGGGCTGTGGGCTTCCCACTGACGATGTAGGTTTGGTCATAACTGTTTTATTTAGCTAAAATTACACACTTAAGTGTGTATACAACAGGGATTACTTCCATTTTAGCTCTGCCTCTAATACATCAATGCAAATGTAAACTTTTGGTAAGCATAAGGAGATGGAAAGGGTATAGGATTTCAAAGCAATCATAACAGGTTACATTACTTTTGAGGAATCCATCTGTATTCAATCCTTCTCCTAATGTTCCCTCTCCCTGACAACTCTCTTCAGCTGGCTCGTATCACTATTTGAATGTTTTGTGCCGTGCCTCTGAAGAACGCTTTCAACATCTATTAGGAGGAAAACATTAAAGGAACATGGAGTCTAACAGAAAAAAAAAAACTGGTCACTTCTGATCTGGGAGGGGAGGCTGCTTTAAAAGGGATTCAGGCACACTCAGAGCGATTTGAAATGTCAGCTAAAAGCCTCACATACCGAGCTCTATGCACTGATAAGGGCGATAAAAGGAAAGGTGAATATTTAAAGTTACACTTCACAAAAATTCCTGCAGACTTCTGGAATTTTATTTTATTTTTTAAGACAGAAAGAGTAATGAACGTTTTTGAAATGAACACAGAACATTTCACACCTCACAGAAATAAAGCTGCACGTCTCTTCTGCAGCTCTCAGTTGCTCAACCCTCAAAATAATCACATAGGGAACAATTATAACAGAGATCACAGCGACCCGAGTAAGTCAGCCTGACCAGCTGCCTTTTCTTTGCATAAAGCCCTCCACTGATCACTGTACATTCTGGTAATGCTGACAAGGGCCAAAACTGCTGCAGAAAACCAACAGGTATCTCTTAGGGCTTCCTTCTGCCTGTTCTGGGTTTATTTTGCATGTTGTCTTGGCTGCACCCCATTCCCAAATCTCCCACTCCTTCAACCAAGACCAGCATGCAGCACTTTGGACATCAGCACTGTCAGATTTTGGAGCTTCAACATGAGTGAGAAGAGAGGTGAGGTGCTCTTCAGTCCTCTTGCCCTACCTGGAGTTCCCACTGCATTGTGAATCCCTAAGGGCATCCTTTTTTCTTCCAGCCTGAGATCCACAGTCTCCCTCACACAACTTCCCCTGATGGCTATTTCAATTTTAAATCAAAGATGCAAAGTCCCCCACTTTTGCCACACATGCTACTATTTGCTCTATGCAAAAAAACCCCACAGGGCTGGCATGCTCTGGGGAAGAATTGCATCACCCTCAGCATCCACAGTGGGAGGAAGATCTCACTGATCCTGCCTGCAAAGCCAAATCCACACGGCACTCCCTTCGGTTCTCACCAGTTACATACCTCCTTCACTCATGCTCTTCATCAGGCATGGGAAAGAAACCCACTAAGGCAAGAAGGAAACTTCCCTGAAGATGCAAAGGCCTCTAGGCAACTAATATCTGTAGAATTTAAATTTCCACTGGAGGGAATAAGTTGCACAACACTCTGTTGGCAGGTCTGAGAGACAAGCCTGCTCGCAGTTCCAGTGTGGCTGGAACGGCTCCCAGTTTAACATGGAAGCTGATCAATCCATCAGTTTTCATTGCTACTGTCTCCTCCAGCTCCAGCACTGAATTTTTATGACACTGACATTTTCTGGAAGAAAACTTTTACTCCAAAGAATTGAAGCTGTGATAGAATCCAGGCAGGCTGGAAGTCCTCCTCTTGTGAGGGTCCCCCACCTGCATGATCCTGAGATAAGGGCATCTCCAAACTCCCCAGTGGCATGGGGGGCACCTCCAAACTCCTGCACTACCAAGGAAGCACCTGTTTTAGACACCAGGTCAAGACTCAAGAGATAGAAGACTCATAAGCTGACAACCACAAAACCAAAAATGTTCTCCCTAAGCAGCTCTTCCAGAAGACTTCCTCCCATGACATTGCCTGAACCTTTGGTCACCAGTGTTTCAGTGAGCAGCTTGTTTCTAACATGGGAGAAATCCCATTTTCTACACACCTGGAGCCATGAGGCAGCTGATAATCACCCCAACTTCATGAGTTGCCTCAGAAAGCTCCAAGCTCTCCAAGCTGCAGGAGTTGGAGGGCTGTTGGTAAGTCCCAGGGAAGGACACCCCAAAATGGGCTCTGCAGAAACTCCAGATCTCAGCACAGCGGATGGCAGGTGGAGCAGCTGCAGTGCCCTCCCTCCTGCACTGCAGGACACAATTCCTTCCCTCCTCTTTTGATGGGTGGTGTTTGGGCTGAGGGATGGTACCCAGAGACCACAGATCAGGGCTGCAACTCAAAGGGATGCAGTTACTCAGTCTCTGTGCTCCCCCCCTGCTTTTTCACACCAACTTCTGACAACATAGTTCAAACTTTTACAGTTCTGTGTTTCTGAAGATGGCTATTTCCAAGAAATCAGCACTAAGCACTATCTTATTTGGTGTCTCCAGTTATTTTGCCTTC